GGAGCAATGTGTGACCTCTTGTTTGTACCAGTTAAATATATAGCTTTTGATTTACAGCAACCCCAGCTGCCAACTTGACAGCTGATTAGAAATCCAGTTACAAATGATTGCTAACATTTCCTTCTGAACAGAAAAGATAAACACCAGCTAGATGGATTTTTCGAAATCCAGTCAGAATGCTCTCCAGCAGCTCGAAATCAATGAAATCAATCGAGACCCTCGTTCGCTTTTTGTCCAGAGAAGAAGATTTACTGTTCCCAGGTCAGCACCGTGCACCACCGACCAAAAAACAGAAAATGAACCCACCCAGACCTCACTGCAGTTCTTGTAGTTTTGCCTCATCAGAGCTGAAGGGACTGTTTCATCTTGAGTCAACAAAGTAAGTTTACAGCTAAAAGTTTATTGTTGTTGTTTGTTCATTAGAGAGAAACTGAACTGAAAGCAACATGTTAAACAAAGAAACTGTAACCTTTGCTTGCTGTCTTTTCCAGGAAGGAGCCGTCACCCTTCCCTCTAATCATCCCTGCGCTAACACCTAATTACCATAATTCACCCCTCACCTCTCAGCTCAGAAATCTGTGACTGCTGCTGCTGCTGCACACTCCGGCAGGAACGATGTAATGGTATCACTCGCTTAGCGGTGCACAGAGGAAGTGGCAGAAGTAGCATTTTTATCAGACAATTAGTTGTTAGAGAGAAATAAAAAAATGGAGAGTAGCTGTTTTTTATTTCTTTTCCTCCCCGAATAGTTTTGGCTCATCACTCCAACGGACCGTTACGGGGAAATCCGAGGCGTCTCTTCAGCTTAAATGTCAGATATTTTTGCCTCTTGTGCTTTCTATTTTTAACGCCTATAATGTGTTGGAGCACTAATGAGTTGGAAGCCACACACCATTGATCACTGCCTTCGTCATAGCACCATTACAAAAGGCCCATCAGTGCCGGTGTCGTGGTTAACTCTCCCCTGTGGTTCCTCTTTTCTTTGTCTTCTGTTTCCATCATCATCCGTTTACTCTGTCAGTTAGAAAGATTATCTGATGAAAGCCGCTGGATTTTATTTTTGCATTAACTCCCTCAATTGTGCCATTAGATAACACCTTTTAAGGCTGAAGTTATATATGAGTTCATATATTTTTGGGCAGGGACTGTTTAGAGTCTCATTACCAACCAATCAAAGAGGCTGTGTTTATTTGAACATTTGTCCCTATGCTTACAAATCTCCAAATCACTAATATGTCCTCTTCTTGGTACTTTGACATTCTTGCCTGTCTGCGCCTATTTTAAAGCTGTAAAAAGCAGTTAACAAATATACATTTTCAGTAATTTCCTAAACCCAGTGCATACTGTAGTCGAAGGCAGTGGTTGGGGGCTATTTTCAGCTGTAAATTAATTAACATTTCGTGTGATAATGAGCAGCCTATTTAAAGCCCGCTGATGTGTGTGAGACTGATACATGCGGGATTTGCAAAGTAGAAGTGTCCGGCTTTTTTATGATGATGGAAATGTCACCCAGTGCAGTCGCTCATTATTTATTTATCTGTTTGTTTGTTTTTAACAAGGATTAACTTTGTAACCTGTAACCTCATTACTCCTTGTTCCACATTAAGGTTTCGTGCGACTATATAAAGATTTTATTGCTTCATTCTGAAAACGTGTCGTCATCATCACACAGCAGCGTGACTCGCCCTCACTACGTGACTCGCAATAGTGGGTTTTGAACCCGTAATTAGCCGAAGAAGCTCGCTGTCGTGTCCAAATTCATGGGCTGCATCCTCCTGAGGCCGCATTTGTAGACCGATTACGTCACAGCGACGCGCCGAAGGCTGTCCAAATTCGTAGACTCCTCCGAATGTAGCCGACAAATGCGTCCTCCTTTTCCCCGAATTTGAAGGATGGGTCGGGTGTGTCCTTCTTGGCCCACCATATCCCAGAATTCATAGCGCGGCCCAGCCAAGCAGTTTCCGGCAATGGCGGCTGCTACTAAGTTTTAAAATTACTCTTATTAATCTTTCTGGGCCACAAAATAAACTTTAAACATATTTTCAGGCGAGAATGTGGGTTAGCTCGTTGATAATTAAAAATGAACACAAAAAACGGAGAAAGATTTCGGGTCCATTTTCGATTTTCGTGCCTTGGCGCTGACAACCGGAAATACTCTGAATTGAGGGCGGGAGTAGATCGAGAAGGCTAGACCGTCCAATTCCATAGCCGTTTACTTCCGGCCTACCCGACCTCCTGAGGACCCGGCCCACGTAGACTGCGAAGGCCGGGTCCTCAGGAGGATGCAGCCCATGAATTTGGACTCCTGAGTGTATTTAACAACAGGTGTTTACTTACATCCGGGTCGCTCTCCCTGAGGTGTGAACCGAGCAGGGTGAACAACAAAAGTCAAAACAAACATGACAGCGTGGCCTCTTCAGATAGAAGCTGACCAGCCGACCTGTATAAGTGATCCAGTGAACATTCGTGTTTTTAAAAGGCTGTTGCGCACATTTTTACTGAAGCCATTAATCCCTGTGTGTTATTATGGCTATTTCAAATATTTACCTTTGCAATAGGTCGTTTACAGGCGTTGACCTGATGCTTGGTGTGTGGTTAGACATAATCTCTTGGAGATTGAGGCAATGCTGCCGAATAACTGTTTCCATTATATGCTGACATTATTTATTCCACCCGTGACTCGTGTTTTTTCTGTCTTTCTTTCCTGTCAGCATCCGATTTGTTAACTATATTCACACCTCGCGAGCTGCATAGGTTGGACAGAGGTTATTAGTGTTGATCCTGTCGCATTAGGAGACACAGTTCACTCCTCCTGCTCTCACACTGCGGGGGAAAGAGGAGACGCTTCCTTTACTATCCTGCTGCAGACGAGGCGGGTTTTTCTTTCCCGTCTCAGAGACAGTCAGCTTATTTTGTTGGCATGGAAAATGTCAAAGTTCTTTTCTCTTCGTGCTCTTAACGCGCGCTCTTGGTCGCTCTGCTGGTGGGTGGTCAGCAGAGAAGAGGAGACAGGAGATGTGCTCTGAATTAGTCAGCGGACTGTTGCTGGTTTATTTAAAAACCCATGGATCAACCTGCGCTTCTGCTTTTCGCGCAGGGGACTGAGGATGGCTGAAGACGTGACCTGTTGCAGCTTTTCTTTCATATTTTAGTGCTTGGATGTAAAACGGAGCAAAATGAATCAGTTTTCTCGGTGTCGCGGATTGTTAAACGAAGACGAGTTGAATTACTTTTTGGGACTTGTGTGTTTTTGCGCAAAGCGACTTATTTGGGGGAATTGACTCGGGGTTTTGTCTGGGCTGCTTACTGGAGCGATTTTGTGATTTTTCTTTTCTAACTTTAAAAGCACCGGACGCGGTGTTGTTACAAAAAAAACCCCTGACGATGGTCTAAAACTGATCAGGATCTCGCCACCCCGCCGCTGTCACGCCGAGCGCGGTACCGCGCCCTGCTTTCCAGGAGAGTATAACCTCATTTTCTCCCCTTTCTCATCCCACCTCCCGTGTGGTTTGCTTTTAACAGAATGGCCCGTTTCGGAGACGACGTCCCGGGCTTGTTGAGTTCAGGGGATGGAGGGTCAGAGCGCATCCGGAACCGCGATGGCGCTGCCGTGTCTACAGGTGGTATATCTCCAGCCTTCAAGCAGACCAAAGCGCAGCGTGCCCGCACCATGGCCTTGTACAACCCCATTCCGGTCAGGGAGAACTGCTTCACCGTCAACAGGTCGCTCTTCATCTTCGGCGAGGACAACGTGGTCAGGAAGTACGCCAAGAAAATCACTGAGTGGCCATATCCTTTTCAGCTTCACGGTGAAAGCACACTCATCCAGTATCTGCACAGACTCGTGTAAATAAAGTGCAGCGGTGAGTAAACTGTTATCCAATTGGTTAAAACAAATTAAGTTTATTTGTGGTTCTACAGTCTCAATACTTTCTCCTTATATTTCCACGAGTTGTGCCCAATTTCACAGAGGGCAGAAGTGCTTCAGTATGTTGCCCTCAGCTTCTCACTGCAACAGAGTAAATTTCAGCACCATGGACAGCACACACAGGACAATATGTAAGAAATTCAGTCTTCACCACATAAACAGTCACACCTGGTTCTTAGTGTGCAGTAAGGAAAAAAGAGGCAAAGACAACAAGTTAAAATCAGACTTTTTTCAGACTTAATTTTGCTGTTCTATATAACAAAAATACTAAATGACTGAAGTTCTCGATGGGATTGACAAAGATTATGGCTAAAGCAGCTTCTAGAGGGTGTATAGTGGGAGTCAATGGAAAGTGGATTAGAGGAACATGAAAGTTCACGTCTGTAAATCTTCTCTGTCAACAATAAGCCGTGACGGCCGGCTTTTTCCATCGTATCCACGTAGCCTCGACTCAAACTCAAGCTGACTGTTCAGTTAACCCACAGAAAATCGATTCAGAGCTGCTTCCATAACTCATTTGGTCACTTTTTACAGCACAATGATACCCAGGACCTGATTATTACGCCTCTCTGTTTCTGAAAGAAACACTGTTATCAGCTTGTTGCTGCTGGCAACAACACACACACACACACACACACACACACACAAACTGTCCATTGGTGACATGTTTGTGCTTCTGCTGCTGCAGCACAGCTCACCAGGTGTCCTGGCCAGGTGTGGCCTCTTTACTGACTATTGTTCTGCTCTATTCAACAGCTTCCTGACTGACTAACTGCTGATTTAAAAAGACCAGCAAATAGAACGAGTCCGCGTCTATTGTGGAGTATTGTGTCTATTGTTGTTTTCTCCGGCTTTGCCTCTTTATTGAGTTGATTAAATATAGAGGGGATTTCAATCAACACTCGGGGAGGAAAAGCACTATAGCGTGTGCGTTTATTATATTACAGCTTCCGAACCTGCAGCGGCTGGGTTATTACCAATATTGATACTATGACTGCACCAATGAGACACATTTTATGTTCTGAATTGTCTTTAAATAAAAATAAAGCGTGTGCTGTAGTGAGCAAAAAGAAAAAAGCAATGATCCAGAATAACCTCCAGGTTAATGTGTCGCGGAGGAGGGAGTGTCTGCTTACATATAATGAGCTCTACTGTATCCGATTAACAGACATTAACAGGAATTATATGTAATGATGTCTGATCGTTGTGTCATGTGCATACAACCAGTCATTAGTCACTGACTCACACTATATTACACTGTTTACTCATATTGTTTTGAAGAGAGTGACGCTGAGCTGACTGATGCTGTGTTCTGGTCAACATCGCGTGTGCCTGTTATGAT